GGGCGGCCGTGCAGCAGCTGCAGGCCGAGGGCCTGAGCCCGCGCTTCCAGCAGCTGGACATCGACGACCTGCAGAGCATCCGCGCCCTGCGCGACTTCCTGCGCAAGGAGTACGGGGGCCTGGACGTGCTGGTCAACAACGCGGGCATTGCCTTAAAGGGTAAAAGGATGTGTGGTCCCAGGAGGGCTCACCCCAGCACCTGCAGCCAGGGTGGCTGGTATGTCGGAGTATCGTTACAATGGGGCTCCTCGCGTGTATGGGTGCAGGATTGCTCCCGAGGGAAGTAGGAGAGGCTGGGGGTAGGGGTGCCACTAGATCAAACTGCAAGAGAAGCTGGAGAGCCTTCTGGCCCAGACACCTTTGTGTTCTTGGCCCAGATGCCTGCGAGTCTTTTCTAGGTTGTCACAGTTTCTCCTGGTTTAACCTTGAGGGCAACGGGGTGAATTTTGCACAAACAAGTTCACAGAGACCCCATAGTGCACCCTTCACCAGCCTCCGGGAATGGCACCATCTCAGACACTATGTTGGGAACATCAGTATAGAACATCAGGAAACAAGGAAATGGTGATTGCACAGTGCTATTACTAGGAACCAATTATACAAAAAATTCACATTTTATGTCATTCTATGGAAAGTTACCACATGGCTACTATTTATTAAGTCTACTCTCCTCTCCTGAAAGGGAATGATCCCACACCGTTTCATATTCAAGCAGAAGTGACGATGAAAACAAACTTTTTTGGTACCCGAGACGTCTGCTCGGAGCTGCTGCCTCTCATGAAACCCCAAGGTGAGTCTAGGAGCCCTGGCTGCCTTGTTTGTGGCAGCATCCAGTCCTGCCCTCCCCTGGTGTCATCTCCAGGCCCCTCCCTGCTCTTGCTCCTGCTCAGGGGCACTGCCCCCTGGTGTCTCACCAGGCCAGCTGCCCTTCAGCCTCAGGACTGGGCTATGTTTGCTGTCTGTCCCCCTGGTCTCTGCACAACCGGCACTTGCTTATCCTTCAGCTCTTTGTTGAGAGTCTCGTCAGAGAGGCCAGTCATTGCTCGTGTCCCTCACAACCGTTGGAGTCCCCTGAGGATCCCAGGCCAGATCCTCCCTCCTCCCTCCTCCCGATCCAATTCATTAGGCCCCTGAACTCTTCTGCATCTGATCACAGGGGCCTTTCTTTGTACTCTACTGATAAAGGGCGTTGCACCTATTGGTTCCGAGATGCTAAACCAACCATGCATATCTGAGATAAACATCACTTGGTTTTAACAAGTTTAGCAGGGAAGCGGCGCTCACTGCACGGGACTCAGTGCGGGGTTGGGCAGCTGTGTGGCAACTGCACAGGCCGAGGGCTAGGGCCCTGCTTCCACCATCTGGACATCCATGACCTGTAGAGCGTCTACATGGTTCCTGTGAAAGGAGTGTGGGGGTCACTGCGAGGTGAAGACCAGCCAGGGATGAGCCCGGAGCTTTGCTTTCACACACTTCGGGGACAAATCAACACTCACGTGAGTCCTTGTCGCGTTCTCTCAGCTTATTCCACAATTCCAGTCCCAAAGACTTGTTTTTGGGGCTGCATTTTTTAAAACACCAGGGGAAAACCCACGGAGAACCAAGGCTGAGGGCTCAGTTTAAAGGCAGTCAGACGACCAATCAAAATGATTCTCTGATGACAGACGTCGGCAGCAGCCAAAGGCCTTCGTCTTGGGCCCGCCCATCTGTAAACCTGCCAGGTGGCTCTGGTTCGCTTTCCCAGCACCGCGGGGCCGGGCGGGGCCGGGCGGGGCCGGGCGGAGCCG